CTGTTTTATAAATAAATAAATAACCCTGGAAAATTAACACAGCACCATCCAGTCCCACGGTAGGCAGAGCTTGAGTTATGGTTATTAGACAACTGATATAAATACTTAGATTTTTTTTGTAAATACATTCGTGCATAGAAAACAAAGATATATTCATGAATACAAAGGTTTGTAGCGTGCTAAGAATCAAACCTGCGACGATTGAAAGTAAAGCGGTGTGCTAAACCACCAGACCACCGAAGCCGGCAACTCTGATGGGTATATTTAAAATTGTAAATGAATTAAACGTGCAGAGAGCGAGCCTACCACCGTCTCATGGATTAATATTTCGGTTCTGTTACCGGTGTTTCCATCACCGGAGAGTCATGTCAGCACATCGTGACAAATTAACCAGGAATTTATAATAATGGTTTCCAGGGGAACTGCGTGGAGGTCAACCTGACATGGTACATTGTTGTAATAGGGTCAACAATCCATCTATTACTAGTAACATATAATTTAATACCTATATGATATATATGTCTATTACACAATCTAGCCCGTAATAATTACATTAGGTGAGAGTACGATGGGAGCTTGTTGACCCTCTGACCGAGAAAGGTGACCCTACTAATAAATTCAATTTATCGCTGTTCATAAGCTACATACATGCGTAAACTCATGAATATTACGTCTAAACACATTAATATAATATTTTATTTAAAATATATGTATATGTATATGTGAAATTTCTATTAAAATCATCCGCTGCAAAGAGCATAAGAAGTTCTAAATAATAAAAACGGCGAAACAAATAATTAAAAAAATAATAGATATGGTATAGCCGTTTGACTACCTCTCTTTTGCCCGTCTAATATTAAAAGCACATATTCGGAATTGTTACTTTACTCTCTAATGATGAGTGAATTTGATGAATGAATGAAAACGTAGTGTGTAATATTATCTTATCTATGGTAGTGTTTAGAACTGTACTATCACAACTCAAACTCAAAGATCGTGAATACAAACCTTTATGGTATCCGCCAGTACCAAAAAACTTTGTGTCAATTTATAATTCTGACTAATCGTCCAGTGATGAAAATTCCATGGGTTACATCCTTGCCAGTTATTATATCTTGTAGGTACTTGGGCGACCGCACTTAGCATTGATTGACTTTTAATAAAATTTAATTTTAGAAAGTATCTATTGTTTAACAAAAATAGGTAACGAAAGTTCAAAGTTTCTACTAATGGGTATGGTATATAGCAGATACTTAAGTATTTAGTACCTATATTTTAGGCGTGTGATAAGCAAAGTAACTTTTGAACTTTTAATACCAAATTTAAAAATAAATAAATACTAAATTGTGGTCATGTGATCACAATAGTTAAAATACCAAAATTTTCCACAGTGCTTATTTTTGAATTTGTATTATTCTATAGTTTACTGCCTTGTTTCCTTATTACGACTGAAGTAGAACACACCTATTCAAATAAATATATAGCAAATCAGTGAATAATCAATAGAATTTTATTTAATCTTGAGAAAAACCTTCATTGAAGCCATTATCTTCGAGTCGAACTATGACAGAATATCTTTACACTTCAAGGGGGCTATGTGAATCACTGTACTATACAATCGTCTCGACCGATACGCAATTTACCTTGTAATTACTGATCTTACGCTTCATTGATAACTCTAGGCTTGCATTTAAATAGATTATTGCAAATTACAATTATTATATTACACTAAAGCTATGGACAAAATATATTCTTTCCCACCTGTACCCGCGGTTTCACCCATGAAATTTATGAGCTATGTGTTGTTCTTATTGTGATTCTGAAGATTCTGGTATATAAGCTACATTACTGTAAAGTTTCTTCAAAAGCCGTTTAGTAGCTTTTGCGTGAAAGATTACCAAAAATTCATCCATACTTATTTCGCATTTATAATATTAAATAAGATTCATATCAGTTTGGAATATTTTTTTATTCTACCATCACATTCGAAATTCGAAATATTTTAACAAAAACAGTCTACATTCACACAAAACCATATTTTTTTTACATTTTTATGGTTGTGTGTGAATATAGACTGCTCGCAACAAAATTCTAAAGATCAACATTAGAGATCATGATACATAAAACTTATGTGGAAATAAGGCCCTAAGACCTCCGCTGAAAATCAGCGCTTTAGCTTCGGCTGCAGAAGTAAGCTGATCGGAGTCTTTTTAGATATTTTAAAGCATATTAGTCTATTTTCATTGTGTTGATGAGGCTATGCACTTATGTCTACGTGCTGCCAGTTGTAGTTGAAGTTTAGCAGATTCCTGATAATGTCAATAATATTTGACTAATAAATGCATATTATTTTCTTATATAACTACCTAACGCCAAGGAGCTACTCTCGAGTGCACAATATTCATGTTGCAGGCGCATCCGAAATTTATGTTGGTATGTATGTATTTGTGTTTTGTTTTTTGGATTTCCCAACGAGTTTCCTCGTAAGGCCAACAATGTATGATTACTTCTCCGAATGCTATATTGTATAAATGCTATTATACTATAAATAATTAATGAAACAATATAAATTAATATAAATAAAAAAACTAATCTGAGTGATTACTGTAAGTTCGCTCTATCACGTTTGATTCAAATTGGTTTACTCAGTGTAATGTAGCGATGTGTAATAAATATTGCGTTCACTACAACGTCAACAAATTAAATAAAAAATAATTGATTAATGTATTACATTTTAGCCGCTTTTCATAAGCGGCGTCGAAATTTTGTATTAATATTTCTTCTCTACCATCCAGTTCAGTATACAGATTCAATTGAGAAGAACTGGCAAGAAACTCAACTGAATTTCACAACGTCTTTATTATCCTCTATGGGATTACAGTCGTAATATAATGTGAATTTAGTGTGATATATATTCCATATGGTATATACGTACATATATTGAATTGAAGGTGACAAATGTCTAAATGCAACGCGCGTCATCATGTTGTCTCAACAATTACATAATTATACATCTATACAAATTCTTGTCACGTCTGTCCGTTACTCCACATAACATAATGTACCTGTTTAAGTTAGGAATAAATTACGCGAGGTTGCCTTAGGTCCACATCTACAATGCCACTCCCACGGTGGACAACGTTCATAATTGCGAAGGACCCTCGCTGAGTATCTGCTGGCCATCTATTGTTTGACGGTACCTTCCTGTGGTGACGACGGTACGCACAATGACGATGAAATCTTTCGATTAATCTTACTATTATTGTTGAGAAACCTCTTTCATTTAACTTTTTGTATTTAAAAATTACATGTAACAAACATATTACATGTTTTAAAATTTTGATAGTTCGTTCCTCACATTGTTGTAAAATGTCACGTTATATTTTTTCCTTGATTCTATAAAATATTTTATTTCTTTATTTAATAGAATATATATAATTAGTAGATATCAATTGGAAAGTATCATTCATATATAAATCCACTCATCCTGTGTACCCGCTGTCCCGGAACCTCGGAATCTTCATCCATAACACATCGATTTATCTGAACCATTACATTTATTATCTATGTAATATTATGTTATCTGTGCTATATATATACATTATACTATACACAGTCATCATAATTTCGAATGCTGTGAAAAAAATAGGAATTTTAACAGATTCGCATTGCAGACCGAAAATCAATCAGTCTCTATTTTTTTATACACTCATATTAATTATTTTATTTCAATTTCTCTCAGAACTTGCATATAACTTTAAAGTATATGCATATAGATAGAGAAGAATATTTTTTTGGTCCATTAAATAAAAAGTTATGTGTGACCTAGATGTGATTTTTTTTGATGTTGCTGCAAGGCTAGGCTTTAGACCCAACGACAACATTTCATTAGTCATCATAGTGTATTGATTGTCTGTGTTTCTGTCAGCAGTAATTTTTGTGTTTACGCAAATTTTATCTAAATAAATATATAAGCAACAAACGAGGCAAAGAAACAGCCGCTGACGCTGCTTAAAAGTGTAACCGATTTTTATTGACTCCTGGAGCGCATAATTATAGTCTTATAATATATATAAATCCTCTGAGCTCTGAGGATCACTATCTAAGCTCACTCCAAGATATAGCAGCGTCGTCTCCTCTTCTGGAAGAAGTTTGGCGATATTATAAAAGTACCGACTTTGTAGTACATTACATATTGTCTACGAATTAAAATAGTAAGAGTCCCATCTTTGATATTTGCGATCCTTGAAATAAGTAGCAACATTAAAGCAATTGTAGAATGAGTCTGAAAGTATTATATTTTTTATTTTATTATATGTGTAATCTCATGTGAGTTGATTCTCCATTGAGAATCCTGCCGCGACAGAGTCAGAAAGAAAGTGATTTCTAAACATGTATATAAATTTTACTTTAAATATTACCTACAAACCAGTAACAAACTTATTAGATAGTTTGACAAAGAGAGGATAGACAATACAATACGTATTTAGTCACGCCAAGCTAGCGGAAAATTAAAATGTTGACTTTCCTAAATCTCCGTCAGTAGGTCACAATATAATTTTGTGCTATAACCTCGATATTCTCTGGGATTACTATATATACTTATCTATGTAATATCACTGATTAATATACACATTTTGTAGTTATTTAATTATACTTTCTATAACAGTTGTACCCGCGCGTTTGATATTCGGAATAATATGTTAGGTTAACAATTTTTTTTATTATGTACCGATTGAAATAATAAAAACTCACAAGAATCACACTAAAATTCCATTTAAATTAGATAAGCTGTGAGCCGTCATTGAGAATTGATATTCTAAAAATCTTTTTACGACGACCTTAACAAAATAAACAAAAAAAGGACTAAGGGATTTGCGAGTGCGTTGCCGGCCTTAGGAAACAATAAGTTCTTTTCTTGAAGGTTTCAATATTTCTTCACTTAAACAGACATATTTGCGAATTAATAATATTATCATGGGTTTGTTTCGATGTTCTAGTTATTCTGCGTGGCCTGCCTAGTAGCGAAGCGTGTCTCGTCCGATGATGAAGCACGTCTGGCGTTGCTGCTGCAGAAGCTGTCGCGGGAGTGGTCACTCCTTACCTCAGTCACGTGGGATTCCGTGGGAGGAGCCTTCGCTGATGCTGTGTATGGAGGTATTAAATTTGTCTTTATTCAGTACTAGCTAACATGTATTATACATATAAACCTTCCTCTTGAAATGTGGTGTTGGAGAAGGATGGAAAGAATTAGCTGAAAACATAAAATAAGAAATACAGGTTGAAAGAAAGAAGGCAGATATTGAATACTATATAAAATAGACTGTTAGAGAATGTTAGGACACTTGGTTGAGACGGCACGACAGGTACGAAGGCAGAGATCAAGGCACGTCCACATAAACCAAATTAAAGATAAAATTAGTCGAATTAACATCTAAAGAGGATAATGGATCGTGGAAAGTAGATCCTCCAAAAGCTCCACCAATCAGGCGTAGCTTTTAAATTACGAATGAATGAATGATTATATATGTAAGTGGTTTAATTCTTTTTAAAGGTTACGTGATAATAACCTTCGGGTTAATCCTGGCTCGAGTGTTTCAAGAGATACCGCGGGGACGCCGCATACTAGAAGGCTTCTTTCTCGGATTTGGCCTTTTGTTCTTCCTCGTATTGGGTAAGAGTAACTTTTGATATTTAAGTTTAATTTATGACAGCAGTAGTAACCCAGAAGTATATAGTATAAATTATTATTATTACTATTGAGTGCTACCGCCAATTAATTTAATTAAACTTTAAATAACTTTAAATGTCACAATGTCTGTCCGACTGTAATCCTAAAATTGAATTTAAATAATACTTGAATGTTGCCGATATGGGGAACGTAGCACAAACCGTGTGTTTGTATATATTGCACTTGAACATTCCTAAGTTTACTCCAGCTTGACAAAAATAAAAAAAATATTTAGACAATTACATTTATTATCTCGCTATTCATGATTGTATGTTGTTAAGTTGTTCTTGTAGTGACAATTAGGGTTCTCTTTTAATTGCTCCCATAGTAAAGGAACCCGATTTCTCGTTACTCAGTAATGAAGCATTTCAACAAAATATTTTAGATATTTAGTTGCTACCCAGAAATACTTTTAAGAACATAGATAATAATATCATCAATGTAATTTAACAGGTGGCTTAGAGTTGGCGTCTCTGGACTCCGTGCCTAGAAATTTAGTGGTCAACGCATCTGTACTCGGTACACTGTCCTTGATTGTTGCTGCGTTGTTTCTCATAGACCTTATGGGTCCTAGAATATACACCAAAGCTCAAACTTCTCAAACAGACGCGTTCTCGTCACCAAAAGTAGACAAGAAAGTTACCATATCAAGCCAAGCACAGCCGGCCGGGAACGGGCATGTGCCTGTAGAGAAACAGAATGGAAACGTAAAACCGGATAGACCAAAAGATTTGGACTTAGAAAAGAATATTGATACAATTACAAAGAAAGAAGAGTCTACTCTTTTCGATGAACCTAAACATGGTTATACGAAATTTGAGGACGATATTCTTCAAAGAGACGAACTGGAGAAATCGAAGTTTGGTTCATTGCGCAGTGGTATCGAGAATGGTAACTACTTTCGCCTCTCCGACCCATTAATGGATATCGATAAGTTTCATTATGAACAGGAACTTGCGAAATTCAATGAAAGATATTTGAGGCGATATTTAGAAGCTACCGACGGGAGATTGCCAGTGAAAGAGGATTATTTGCCCGAACTACAGACGCCAGTCTTCTCGAAAGTGAAGTCTGGTCGATTGAGGAGTTTGTACGACGACGTCTCACCCACTTACGAACAAAAACGACAGTCGAAATCGCCGACCAGAGCTCAGAAGGTATCAACGCCTACCTTGCAGCAATTAGAAGATTATTTAAGATCTTCAAATAGATCGAGAAGAGGGGACACGCCAGCGTTGTTTCCTATGGAACCTATAGTTGAGAAGGAAGCCACTGAGAATGAAGGGAGGGCGTCTGGAACTCCAACTGACCCTGGGTTTGTGCAATATTCTGCCGGTAAGTGGCCTGACAAAAGAGAAGTGCGTACACCGAGACATAGCCCAACGTAATAACTTATTGACTTGTGAAGTTGTGACTTTATGACTGACGAGTGTAGAACTGTAATTGTTCACGAATGTGTGTGCTTGTGTATTATAAATAGCCATTATATTTATAAATAGTAATAAGTATAGCCACTAATATATTTTTATGTTACAGATAATAAACTAATTTCACTACTCGGGTATTTTAATTTACTTTAAAATTGTTGCGTTAACGTTCGTTCAGCAATATTACAAAAACAAAAGAATCGCTGGACAAGGTAAAGCCGTAAACACAGTTTCATGGAATCTGTTAATTTATAGGAAGTTCGTTGCTCCAACACTTAAGTACTATTAGAGTTAATTTTAAAATAATGAGTTTGTATGACACATATGGTTGGAAGTCACACGCGAGATTTGATAAAACATGTTCCTCAATTTGAGTTAGTCATTGTCAGAGTCCAAGATAAGATTAATAAAAACGAGATACATATTCATAAGTGTCAGATAATGTCGCAAAAACAGATAAAATTGGTGTATTTTTTGTGGATTTACGAAAAAAATATATACCTACTGTGCATCTTAGTATGACAACAATAATACCGATGTATCGTCAAGACCTGTATGAAACAAGTACATTATTCATGTTAACATTATGAACGCAAAAGTGAGTCCATCTGTTAGTTTATGAAATTGTTATTTTTCATGGCTATTCTAATTTCACGTTAAACGTTAAGACAGAGGGACATAGGCAATCTTTTATATAAAATAATAATAGTTGCGGGTAATATATAGTTAGTACATATTTTATAGCATTTTATCTGATGTTATTTTTTTTCTGTAGGTGGTTACAGTTAATACTTATTACACTGTCATTAAATACAGAACGACCTGATAAAAAAAAAACTACCTATCACTTTATATTTTTAGTAATGTCATAATAAGTACGGAAATAAGCTGATATGATTAAGATGTTTTATAGGAATACTATAGCTACAAACATACATACATATAATTATAAAAAAAATATACTTTACGACTATTATCCCAGATGGGATCGTCAGAGATATTGTCAAATGTCGACATGGTAAAGGAACACTTGAAATGTCCACATTTCGCTGAGCATATTTGAATCCACCGTGGCAGGGGCCGAGCCTTCTAGCATTGATACATGAAGGTTTTGGTGTCGGTTAGATTAGACTCCAGTGATTTTGGGATTCAAGTTAATTTTGTGTAGCTATTAGGTCACGTACGACACTCTCACTATATATGATATAGAACCTATAACTTTTCGGACTTCAGTTAGTTTTGTTAGCCATTAGGCTACGACTCTTACTGTATATGATATAATGAAATCTGTCTCCAGATAGCTGTATATAATAAGAGATATCTTTATCTTTTGAGAGAGCGAAAATGAGAGATATAGTCATATAGATATATTACTGTAGTTATATTGAGTATTCTCTTTTATTATTTCATTCATTAAATATTTAATCTACCTTGGAGCCATAAAATCTAGTCAGTGAGTTCTTCAGCGGGAACTGATGAAGGTAGATCTGACATGTTACATCGCTAGCAATGGGTCCACTTGTCCCCATTATTGACAATCGTCTTCCACTTATATGATTAAGACAGCAAATTTAAACTTACACCTGCTATAAAAAAATGTAGGATCAATATCCGTACTATATAAAAAAAATAACGATTTATTTTTTTTATTTAGTACGTCTTTTTAATGACGAACTAAGGCTGCATGTCCCATAGAAAACGAGCTATTATGAAAATTTTACACAAAAACTAAAGTGGATGAAATTGTGTCCATAGGATGAAGCAAATAAAGTATAAGCTTAGGTGAGGGGAGACGCAAGATCTCTGAATAGACGAGTTTCTTGTCAGTTCTTCTCAGCTCGAAAGCACTCCGAAGTGACGGTAGTTTAGATTACATATTATAAGGGTCTGTAATAGACCTACATGAATAAAGATATTTTGATTTTGAGATATAGAACTAATACTATAAGAATACCTACATCGTAATTTTATTATGTGCACACACATCTCTTTGTGCTAAATAAAAAAAAACAATCCTTATACTACGAACTAGACCTTCGATATTTTAGTCGTTCAGTTTCGCTCCACGTGAATGAATTTTGCAATTTGCTCTGAACTTTGTAATTTGTAGTGTAGTGATAATGGAATGGTCCGCCAAACACGGTTCATTGGATGCTTTATAAGGCTGTGTTGCAACGAATTAGCGGTACCTTTGTTAGCGAATGTCAAGATCAGTTGGGAACCTACTCACTTGTTGTCTATTCGTGGTTAACTATTGATAAATAGGTACAGGGTTCTTGATACCTTTTAGGCAAGGTCTGTCGAGGTATCTATATTATTATTACAAAGCTGAAGAGTTTGTTTCTTTGGCTGAACAGCGTAATCTTAAGAACTACGAGTTCGTATCCAACAGGAACTGCATATTCCTCTTATTGGGAAAGTCTATAGGTTACATAACATCACGCTACGACCCATAGGAGCGGAGTATCAATGAAAAATACAAGAAAAAGTGGGTAAGTGACAAAATGTAAAGAAGACTTAGTGAGATTACAGAGAACATAATGCCAAACTTCCTGCAGAAGTTTTCTCACGGGACTACATCATGGGGTTTTTCAAGAAGGGTATATTAAGGTAGCTTAAGGGTCGACAAGGCGCACGTGACACCCCTGGTGTTTCAGGCGTCCATAGGCTACGATACCCGTTTACCACCAGATGGGCCGTATACATGTTTGCCACCGTAGTGTTGCTAGCAACAAATAATCATTTTATGTTTATGGTAATACCATGGAATAAGTGCTAGAGGGTGGCACCATTGAATTCCTTTTTAACTTACTTTCTTCCACGATATTGTCTAACAGACGCTATACGTTGCTCAGTGTAATTAAGTTATTATATAATTTAAATATATGTAATTAGTTTGGTCCAGCAAAGGTGTTTTTATCATCAGCAACCTACAGTCTACGCTCTCAACACATAGTAGTATAAAAAAAACATGCTACACTGCGGAACCCTGTTATCATGTATAATATGCATAATGTGTCAGACATCGTCTTTAACGATTATTAACTAACAAAACCATTATGTAGAGTAAATTTTAAACATACACTTCCTTGGTCAACTGCAAGGACATCATATGTTACAGTACTGACGGCCCGTGTGTAGATGACTACATAATAATTATTTTATTGTACACATTTGTATTCAAGTACTTACATATACGACTATACAAAACAACATGGTGAATTATTATGTGCGACATAACTTATGGAACCGCTACGAATATGTCACAACTATAATAGAATATCATATAAATATGATAGGATGAAGATCTGGATAGTTTTAAAAAAAAATACATACATATATAAATTCTTAGGCTTCTGTTGCAATTTGCTACAGTGGAAGTTTTTAGTAGATGTTTTCACTGTCTACATATTATAATATTATGTTGACGTTTAAGGCCAGCACGCTTATTAGTGGAGTTCTTGCCATTTTCAACGATCTTCCATCAATTTCTTTAGTTGTTCATACTATACGACTTCAACTTTTTGCTTAATCTTCTTGGTGCAGGTGCAGATTGCGGCCTCGAGGCCAAACGTTTGTCCCGTCATCAATGGGGGATTGGGTGATTAGCCTTCTGTATGCAGGGTAATAATATATAGAATAAAAATAAGAATACGTATAAACTAAAACTTAGCTTTACTTAAGATCTAGTAACAAACAGTTTCTGCATTTTTTTAATCATTATTATTTTGTCTTATGGCAGCGTGCTGTTTAAGTACTCGTGTAAGACAACGACTCGTACCTACCATTAGGTAAGCCGTCAGATTGTTAGTCTTTTATATTTCATAAAAAATCTACAAATGTTTAGGAAGAGAGACAATAGAAACAGTGTTAAAAGTCTGTTACAGGTCTATGCGGAAGACGGTATTTTGTTCAATTCATGTGTTTGTAGCGACGCGTTCTATTTTCATGCAAATTAGGTACATACGTCGACTGTCTCATTTACTGGTATATCTATATAGTGATCAGAATATAGTGGTTGAAGAAAGCCAAACTCACTAAATGATTATCAAACGTCCATGGCAATAGTTATAAGAAAAATGGATGGCGATAGTTATAAAAAAAATCAGTTTGGTTGTTACTCGACAGTTCTTCTCATTTGAATTAGTGTCTCTCAGGATGGTAGGTAAAAATACATTAATACGAAAATCTTGATTTACATAACTGACTAGAATGAACTAGAATGATTTTTGAATTTGGAATGTTCACGTTTGGAATGAAACATGTTCTCTACAAAGTTCTAATGTAATGTATAATAATCATTTTCGGCAATTAACTCGTTTTTTGTTTTAAGTAAATGTGACTATGAATTTTAATAACAATTAAATATTACTATTTATTTGTTATTAAAATTCAAATCTTCTTCTTCAATAAAAATTCTGATCGCAGTTACCTGCGATCAGTATAGAAAACATTAAGTAGGCATAAGTAGGCTTTGTATAAGTTCATCTGTGGGGAAAACTACCAATAACAAAAAGCTATTGTTCAGATCTTGACCAAATTTTTATGAGACCCCACGAAGTACCAGCTTTCAAATAAAAAGTATTACCTAAGAAAATGTTCTGAGATAACATAGAAACATATAGTAGAATTGAGATTCTCCTCCTTTTTTGAAGTCGGTTAAATATGTATCGAAGTAGGTAAATAATCATAATATATATTTGAGGTAACATCAATTAACTAATAAACAGAGAGTACATACATAATATGTTGACATGACGTAATGTCCATTACCCAAATAATTTAGGACAACACATCACAAATAACATTTAGTGGTACGTGTTTGTCATAATTCACCGGCGATGCATTTAAAAGTATAGATTAGGTACCAAACAGATATATCGCAACTACATCTGTTTATTTAAAAAACTGGTTAAAATAAATTCTAGAATTCCAAATTCAATTTCTGAGAACCCACTGAGAATTTGAATTTGGAATTTGTCTATATTGAGTAGATATATAAATCTATGAAATAATCAATATTATTTTTATAGGTGTTATAAACGGTTAATATCTAAACTAATATTATAAAGGAAATAAATTATCTTCTTGAAAGGAACATAC